GCGGGGCGGGCGGCTCTCCCTTACCGGAGCGAATGCCTGAGATGGCCAACTTGAAGAGGGAGGGCTGGGAGATTTCTGTCCCTGGCTGGCTACCCCGGTGCCCTCGGGTCACACGGTGGTGGGGGTGTGGCGGGACTGTTCGTCTAAAGAAGGAAGAGGAAGGGAGCTGGGTCCGGTACCCCCTCAAGAGCCCCCGGACTCCGGGCTTTAAAGTCCACCCCCCACCCCACCCCCCGCCCAGACTGCCATGGGCTGGGACGGCCCCAGCACATGGGCCTTCTGGAGGTGCTGCCAAGAGGAGTCCCCAGGGCTCTCCTGCTGTGCCAGATGAAGGCCACAGGCATCGCGTCTGGACTCAGCAGGCCAGGCCATCCTGGTCCGGAGTTACTAGTTAGGTGACCTGGTGCAAACTGCTGTCAAAACAGGACGACAGTGCCTGCCTTCTACCCTGTGAGAGCACTAGAGAAAGGAGGTTACAATACAGAAACAGCGGGTTCAGGCACTCTTCTTCTGGCAAGCAGTTCAGTTCACACACAGAAGCATTCGGCAAAATTTTGCTTCCATTTGCAAACTCCGCAGCGGGTGACAAACACGCCCCCAGCCGTCTTCCCCAGAAAGGTGGAACAAATTAAGTCCATGACCCGAGGTCCCATTGTACAGCTTACAGAGCACCTGCCGAACGCCAGGCTTTCTGAATGCATAATTCCCTTTACAGTGCAGGGCCACATAGAGGCAGCCTCCGAAGGCAGCGATGCTGCCTAAGGTAGTGTCCTGCGTGTTAGGAAACCGAGGCAGAGAGGGCAGTAATTTGCCCAAGGCCGCAGAGGTGGGAAGTGGCAGAGCTGGCGGACACCCGGGTCGCTTCTCCCCCAGGGCCATGCCCATCCGTCCCACGCTGGTCACTCGAGGCCCTTTCGCCATTCTCTCTGTGTGTGCTTATCCCGAGCTGAGGCAGCACCTGGCAGAAGCCTCAGATCCGCTGCAGTGCAGCCCCGGCCTTGACCCGGCGGCGCAGGGGCCAGGAATGGACTGACTCAAAGCCACAGCCCGCGGCTGCTCTCACAAACCATCTAGCGCCTCACATCTCCCACTTCCTGTGAGAGATAACAGCCGCTATTTCCGTCTGCAATGCCACGGGCATAAACACATGAAGAGTAATAAATCTGGAATGCTGAAAACTCCTTGTGAGCTACAGAAGTTGCACCGTACAACCCCAGATCCAGCTATAGCCAGCGGGGATCCCCACTATGGAGACCCCCATAAAAGGGAGAGGGAGAAGAGAAGGTGGTAGAGGGAGGCAGGTTCCCCCCATAAGGGCCACAGGGCCGGAAGCTGAACACATGAGTAGGACCAGGAATGGCTAACTGGGTGCTGTGAATTGTGTGCAGCAGGACACACAGCCTGGTTTCTCTCTGTGAACCTCAATATAGACTCATTATGTGCTAAGAACTGTTGTAAGAATTTCTGCAAATTACCTCCTGATGTGCTAAGCACTGTTTCGGAAATTTCCACAAATTCACCAATTCAATCTTCACTACAAACTAAAGATTATCCCAGTTTTCCAGCTAAGGACACAGAGAGAACACAGAGAGAGAAGTTAGGTGAGCGGCCCAAGGTCCAGAAGCAAGTCACTGACAGGCTCTGGCTGTCTGACTTCAGAGTCCCTGCTTTCAACCACCATGCCGCCCACCTCCCAAACACCGGAGTGGAAGAAGTCGCCGGGAGAAGAAGTCGCCGGGAGTCAGGACTAGAGGTTAACCTCAAGCCAAAAATGACCTTGAGAATCTCAAGGGAACTCAGAAATCTGCAGCTGGGGTATAGGCCGGTAATAGAGAGCTTGCCTAGCATGCTTAAGGAACTGAGTTCCATCCCCAGCATCACAAAACATAAATACACACATATGCAGAGTGATCCAAATATACAGGGAATGTTTAATTTTTTTAAAATGTATCGCAGTAAAAGACACATCATTAATCTCCTTCCCTTTGAACTTATCCGGTTGTTCTTGCCACTTTCTGAAGCAGTTCTAGAAGTCCCCTTTCGTGAGTGCCTTTGCTATGTGTGATTGTACGGTAAATGCTGCTGCCAAGCGCTAGCCAACAGAAAGGCAGGCTGATGAAAACAGGAGGGTGCATTCCCATCCACCCCATTCACCAGATCTGGCAGCATGCGCCTTCAGGCTGTTCCTCAAAATCAGAATGACCATGAAAGGGAAATATTTTGGGTTTTTTTGTTGTTGTTGTTTTTTGTGGGGTTTTTTTGGTACCGGGGATTGAACTCAGGACCTTGTGCTTGCAAGGCAGGTGCTGGAACCACTGAGCTAAATCCCCGACCCAAAAGGGAAATATTTTGAATCCATTAAGGACATCGAGGCAGCCATAACAGCAAAACTAAAGACCCTTAAGAAAGAGAACTTCTAGAACTGCTTCAGGAAGCGGCAAGAACAATGGGATGAGTGTATTCAAAGCAAGAGGAAATACTTTGAGGGGGATTAATGTGGCAATTTGAGAGTTGGACCATTCGGGGATGGAATGAGTTTGAAGCCAATCCCACCTGCATCTCTGCTCTGCAGCCATTGTCTAGGTTGCTTTTGGTGGACTTGACCTCACTCTGCTTCCCTGGGGGGTCAGGCCTGTGTGTGCTGGGTTTGGCATCCTCTGGTCCCTCAGCGGCCGGGCCATTCTGAAAGGGCCCCATTCTATTTACTCCTTGTCCTCCCTTGGTCATGTTGAGATTTAACAGGATTAATCCTACTACCTCCAGAGCAAAATACACCGGAACTACAAACATAGAAGGAGGAACATAAACTCTCCGCTATTCTGCTGGTGTTGCCTCGTTGGAGAACAGGGCTGGCACCTCCTCCTGGCTGGATGGGTTTCTGGGATGGCCCAACATGGAGCCTGTCCAACAGAACCTTCCATCTCAGTGAACGCGACCTGCGTCTATGCCACTCGACAGGTGCCCACAGCCACGCGGGACTGTTGAGCAGTTAAAATGTGGCTAGCGCAACTGAGGACATGCATCTTAAAGTTTTATTTAATGTATTCAAAATTCATGATGCAGGCTTTCGTGTCTCTTCACAATTGCCTGCCTGATGCTGTAGGATGCACTTCTTTTTCCTACTTTTACTTGGCCCAAACTCACTCTGCAGAACCTATTTTTCTCCTACCTTTAATAAATGTAAAACTTCACCACCATGAAAAAAGTGCAATGTATTAAAATTTATTTTCACTTACACATCGCCATATGGCTAGTGGCCACTGTCCTGGAAAAGCCAAGCCCAGAGCTTGGCAATCAGCACATCTTCGTCACTTTTCTCATCGCTGAGGCACAACACTTGACGCCACAACTTAAAGGAGGACAGGTTTATTTGAACTCAGAGTTTCAGAAGTTTCCGTCCATGGTGGGGAGATTCCAAAGGAGAAATCGCAAGGTGAAAGGGCCTGGTGGAGAAGAGCTGATGACAGCACAGTGGCCAGAAGGAGCGATGGTAAGGAGGAGTTGTGGAAGGAGATAAACCCTCCACGCCACGCCACGTGGCCCCTCCAGCCAGGCCCCGGCTCCTGACAGCGTGGGCTGATCCACTGAGCCAATCACTTTCCCCACACGTGAGGCTTTGGGGGATACCCCAAATCTAACCCTAACCCACACCCCATGAAGAAGAGCCGGTCACTACAGCAACAGGAATGGGAATGCTGCCTGGTGAGTCTACTAGCTTCCTATGGTTGCTGCAACAAAATACCACGACTGGAGTGGTTTAAAGAAACCCAAACTCAGCATCTTCCAGGCGTGGGCCTCAGATATCCAACGCATGTGTCACTGGACTGAAACCATGGTACTGAGGGCTGGGTTTTCTCTTGGAAATGCTAGGGGATATTTTTTCTGCCTTCCTTGGCATGGGGCCCCTCTTCCACCTTCAGAGCCAGCAGCCCAGCATCTCGATGTCCCTCTGCTTTCTCTGTCACATGGCCTTCCCTCTAATGAGGACCTTGTGATTGCATTGGCCCAACAAGTTAATCACCCCCATCTCTGTCACTTTCTTCATCGCTGAGACACAACACTTGACACCACAACTTAAAGGACGACAGGTTTTTTGGAGCTTCCCACCCCAAGACCCTTGATCACACCTGGGAAGCCCCTTTAGTCACCTAAAATCACATGCTCAGAGGTTCCAGGGGTGGGTGAGGACATGCACATCATGGGGACTCCAGAGCCCTGTACTGGGAGAGCAAGAGATAGCCTTTCAGATTCATCTGTGCAGTCTGCCTTGTGCTCGGACCCTCAGGGTCCTACCCTATGGGGCTGGAATTGGAGGACAATCCGGGCCGTGCTTCCTGCTCAACCCTAGGTGGCACCATCTGCTCCCTCTGAGCACATGAAATGCTATGGCCTTCAGTGCACGACCTGAGAAGCTGGGAGAACACCTGTGTCCTGCAGACAGGTCATCTTGATAGGAAAGAGAGGGGTGAGCATGCATATTCAGTTCTCTCTCCCAGCGTGGTCATCACATTAGAGTGCTCTAGCCCTTGTAGGATGATTCAGTGAGCAGAACACAGAAGTACAGTGCATTACGTCCACCACTGGCAAGTGGGGTGAAGTTCTCCCCCGCCCACTTTCTCATGGAAATGTGAAACTAGGGAGAGAAGTTTCTCCTGAAGGACTGTCTGGGTCAAAGCATCTAGCTACGCCCTGGCTGAAGTAAAGATTCTTCCCCACGCTGCCCACGTACCCAACACACCCAGAGCTAGAAGACTCTTAGCCTGAAAGTCCCTCCTTGGCTAAGAGCTGCCCTCACAACTACCCACAAAGGTGTCCTGTGAGAGGAATCAACATTTTTTAATCTCTGACCTGTACCCCACATCCTTTGAAGAAAAGGATTTACAATTTTAGCTACATTCTCCCCACTACCTTGCACTGGTACATTAGTCATCTTTCCCTGAGGCACTGAGACACAATGCCCAACACCCATAACTTAAAGAGAAAGTTTTAATTTGGCTTACGTTTTAAAGGGATTCAGTCTGTGGCTGGCCAGTTCCAAGGCAGGCGCATCACGGTGGAAGGTTGAGGTGAAGCAAGGATGCTCAGCCTACGGTGGGCAGAAGCAGGCACCGGGAAGAGAGGAAGAGGCAGGGACCAGACATAAGCCCCGAGGTCACACTTCCATGATCCACCCAGGCACACTCAGGAGTGTTCTTCCCCAGTCCCCTGGGCGAATGCCAAAGCCAGTGAAGTTGACATGCCCACCAACCACAACAACAGGGGACAAACAGAACTTCTCCGACTCCACCCCATGTGGTTGGAGAATTGCCACTCCCATCAGACTCCTCCCAGTGGAGTCTGGGCTTTCCTGGGGCTCAAGTGTCATCACCTCCAGGTGGCTGTGGACACTGTCTCCTGCTCAGTGGTGACATCTCCTGCCCTCCTGACATCCGAGCCGCCCATCCTGCCCAGCTTCTCCGGTCCGCTGCAGGTTGGGGAAGCTCACCGCTCACTCCTCTCACCCTGCCCCTCTCGTACAGCTACAGAGCTGAACTGTCCTGAGTCACCAGGGTCTGACAAGGGTCCCCAACATGGCTCCGCTCACTAACCTTTCCTCCTACTTTCCCACCAGTTTCCTTCTGGGGATCTGCCTCAAAATGAGGAGTGTCAGGCAGACAGTGAAGCAGAGATGACACTGTGGGACTTGGGAGAGAGAGGAGGGCATCTTTCGTGGTAGAACTGGCATCCTCTGGACCAGTAAGACTGGAGCTAAGGCCTGAGAGGTGAGAGGAGGCAGCCAGGCAAAGGGTTGGGCCAAGAGTGTTTCTGGAGAAGGGGAAGGGTGTGCAAAGACCCAGAGGCCACCACAAGCTGCTTTTATCCAAGGAAAAGAAAGGAGATCAGTGTGACTGGGTTAAGAGAGCAAGGACAGCAGTGCATAACACAAGCGAGAAAATGGAAAGGGGGCAGACAGCCTAGGGCTTCGTCCACAGCCAGACACTGACATGACTCCTGTTGGGGACCTGCAGGCGGCACCACTCACCGAGACAGACGGAGCAGCGGCCGGGTAAGGGACAGGCTTGGAAAGCGCTGTCAGGCGGAGCGGAAAGTTCTGCCTGAGGGGACAATTGGGACAGGTTCCGGAGGTCGGACACTTCCCTCACCCCAAGGAGGACCGTGGTCTTGGTCAGGACCGCCCCGTCCCGATGTCCGGCGTGAACTCGCAGGTGCACTGACGAGAAATTCTCACTGGCTTCACTCACCCCACCCCACACGAAGTCAGCTGACAAACTGTGCCAGGAATATTGAATCAGCCACAGCTTACCTCAGGTGACCTTGGGCTTCTGCTGACAATCTGTTCAGGGTTTCCCATTGCGCTTCGGAAACTCCTTTTCCTTCTGCAAGTGTTAAGAGAACTCTAGTCACCGTATCAAGCACATCCCCAAATCTCACCGGCCAAACCCAAAGAAGTTTCTTTTCCTTGCGTATCTGAATTCCAAATAAAGTGTCCCTGATCCCGGGGCAGCTGCTCCAAGTATTATAGATAGGTAAGTTAATTAGATATCTTGTAGGCAGTTCAACAGGGCCGGCCCTTGAGGAGCCAACATGGAGGATAATCAAGATACATTCACTCATGACCGGCACAGTAAAAGTAGAACTACCACATCCCTGTAGGATGCATAGCAGTGATTGATATTCTAAATAGGTATCAATCACCTGGGTGGGGGACCAAGATCTTCCAAGAAAGATCCCCGACCCACCCCTTACCAAAAATCCTTGCTCATTCCTTGTAGGTTTGCTCTTCGACTTGCTTCCCCTTTAGTTCCCCAGTTAATTAATTAATTACCTAAGTGACTATACTTGTAATCTTATTGGCTGTTCATAGTTTTGTCCACCTTGTGATTTCTCATTGGATCAATACTACCTAAGCGACTGTACTTGTCATCTTACTAGTTGACCATAGTTTTGGCCCACCTTGAGCCTGCTTGGATTTGTCCCATAAAACACCTTTGAGAAGTTGAGTGAGCCTGTAACCCATTTTCTGGCTATGAATAAAATTTTCCTACTCTTCACCTCCATTGTCCCTAGAATTCATTCTTCGATTTTAGAGAACACGAACTTGTGTTTCAGATGTCTAGCATGTTTGGGAGTTACATCTCTTCCCCATATATCACAAGTACAGAGATTCCCACTCCTTCCTGCTTATGGATCCACCATCTTAAACCCATGACTTCTAATGGCACCTTACTGAAGAAACAGTAGGGACTACGGAGGTTGACAGGTGTCATTGGCTAGAATTCAATCACATGACCACACTTGCTGCAAGGGAGGCTGGGAAATGTAGTCCAACTGTGTGTCCAACAGGATGAGGAGGACAACATCTAACAGGCTCTGGCCTTCATGTTCATGAAATCCCACCCAAGGTGACCCCTGTTTACATCTCTGCCTTCAGGGCCTACCTTTCTCGTTCATTCACCACCCTCATCCTTCTTTCTGCTATTTAGTAGTGAGCCTAAGCTGTCCAAGCCTTCCTGCCTTGGAACCTTTGTGCCTGGGAGGCTCACCTCCTGACCTCTCCAGGGCTGACCCCACCAAACCCAGGTCCTATCTTTTCCCACCCCTTACTGGACTTTGGTTTTCCTTTACCAGTGCTATGGTCCAACTTTATACTGTTTATTTGTGCATTTATTGCCTTTCCTCCTATTAAAATGCAAACATCAAGAGTACAGAAATGCAAGGATCCAAGTTTGATTCTCAGTACCAAAAAAACCCCAAGAGTACAGAAAGCTTCCTGGTGTTGTGTCAGGAGCAATGCTACATAATTCTAGGGAAAAATCATTTGAGTAGGCCTAGTTCTCCTGCCTGCAGGCCAGCTATGACATTCCAGACATAATTGCATTTTGGCCTCAGGTCACAACTGAGACCTCAGTGATCCCCAGATTTGGATGCTGTAATCTCCAGGACAAGACCACACCTGCGGAGACGCCAGGGAGGAACCAAACCTTCATCTGCATAGTTCCTCATTGTTCTTAGATTTCCAACCACCCCCCAGTCTTTTTACACCTTGTTTATCCTAATGTGAAGTACTGAACTCTGCATTTTTCACTTGTTATATGTTTCCCCATGGACTGAATAAAAAGTGCTGCAAGCTAGGGGTCTTTGTCTTTGCCGCCCAGAGCAGCACTGATCAGACCCAAAGCTCAGCTTCTTCTCAGTCTCATTTTTCTACCTTTCCTGTCATTCGCCTTGTGCTGCTGTGGCTCACGGGAGACTAGGACTCACTGCAGAGGTTCTGGTAACGTCCCCTTCCCCTGTTCCCTACAGTGTTGTTCTCCACTGTACCCTCTACTGGAATGCACAGTAGGGCTTCCATAAAGAAGCACTGAACAAAAGAACCACTCTTCTTGCTGGCTTGGGAGCTTCCTAGGCAGCCTGGGCCAGAGTCTGAGGGTGAGACTTGCTGCTCAGAAGCCAGCGCCAAACCTCACCTCCCGGGCAGGCGGGGTGGGAGTTTGCTCACCTTACAACCCTCGGGGCTTTGCCGTACCTTGCAGCTGTCTTGACCCTGGTCCCTGTGAAGGTCAGAATGATGCCTCCAAGATGGCTGGAACCTCCTAAGCCTCGGACAAGCGGGAGCTGCCTGCCCCTGCAGGCACAGAGAGAAATGAAGGACTCCAGTAAATTACCCTGGAAAAAGGCTGACCTCACCCAGCCCCGGCCTGGGGTGGTGGTCGCTCTTCGTCCTGAGGGAGGAGCTGCTGTCCGTCCTCGGGCACCGATGAACAGGGTGGCCAACGTGAGGAGGAAAAACACAACATGGCCCCCAAACTTGAACTTCAGACCAAGAGAATAACTTCTCAGGGGAAGTGTGTCCCATACATAATCTGACACGCACATACGCTTTCAAAGCTGGAGTACAATGAAGAAAACATATGTGCACTGCACACCTAACAGATGACGGGAATGGCTCAGTAAATAAGGAAAATAAGCCTGGATCCCGGCCCTCAGCAGCTCCTGCCTCTGCTCTCCCTGAGAGCATCAGTCTTCTTGCAAGAACTTTGGCTATAAATACCGGAGTCCTTAAAAATATCCTTATCCTTTAACCTAGAAATTTTGAAAGTCCTCTATATACCGTCATTATTATTGTTGTTATTTGCATAGCAGGCTACAATTGCAAACAAAGTCAGTATTTGCATCAAGACAAATAGAAAACAAACCATATGGACTAATGTCCTTATCACAGTGACCCTGGATGCCACAGGTTGAATTGTGTCTCCCTCTCTGGAAAAGGAATTCTGTTGGAAGCTCCCCGCAACCCAGGCCTTCCCATGTGTTATGATTTGAAGACAGAATCTCTACAGAGATAACTCAGTTAAAAAGAGGTCATTGGAGTGGGCTCTGATCTGATAAATCTGATCTACCTGTTTTTAAACAACAACAAACGAAGGTCAGAGTTAGACTATCCAGGCTCAATCAGTGCCTTGTTTAAACCCCTCTTGGCTCAGTTTCCTCATTTGTAAATTGGGGATGAGAATAATTTCTAATTTCTACCTCATGGGATTATTATGAGGAGTGAGTGAGCCAGAACATATACCAATGTTAAAATAATGACCACACATAGAGGCACGCTGTAGATATTTGCTCTCACAATTAACAGGGCAGTTCGATCCCACGTTTGTAAAGATAGATAGATCTATAGATAGATGATAGAATGATGGATAATAGAGGTATTTATCTCTATAAATGCTTTTTTAAATCCTAGAAAAATAGACATTGATTCTGGATTGCAGGACTAAAAGTGATGGCTACTACTCTAGGGGAGCCATGCATATGCTTGCTTGACACATTTTTTTTTTTAGTACCGGGGATCAAACTCAGGTCCTTGTGCTTTCGACGCAGGCGGCGGCACCACTGAGCTAAATCCCAGGCCCCTGCTTGACACATTTTAAAGACAACTTTTGTTGCTTTGGAAACCTTGCTGCATCTTTGGCATCGCTCTGCGACACACTGACACGCGAGGGAAGGACCCGCAGTGGGGCCTGAGCCTGGGCTGGGGACGTCGGAGCTCGGGTACACGGGCAGGAATTTGCTCTCCTGTTCTTGGCTTGGGCAGCACAGGGTGGGCAGCACAGGGTAGGTAGCGCACGGAAGGGCAGAGGCCTGCGAGCAGAGGGGACCGACGCTGCCGAGGCGCCTGAGCCGGGACGACGGCTCCCGATGTGACGCACACAGGCTCTCAGCCTCTCACTCGCTATGTTCACCCTCGGCACCTGTGGTCCCCGGACACCCAGGGATTCTACAGTCCACAGACGGGGGCCCGCGACCCTTCTCCACAGGGGCCACTCGGCAGCCTGAGTGTCATGTGACCGTCCTCAGTGACAAGAAACAGCCCCTCCGTGTTCAGTGCAAGTGCAGTTTTCCGAGTACTTTTGACGCGCCCTGGCTTGGCTGCACGGAGGTGCACGCTCGGACAGAAATCGCGCCTTGGACCCCACCAGTGAGCATAACCAATGCACGGTGATCAAAAACTGTACATCGATGACTCATATGAAGTCCCTGCCGTCGAAAGACTCTCGGTGCACAGCTAAAGAGGACGACAAATGCCGTGTTGCGAGTGGTGAGGACACCGGGCGCTTAAGCACGGTCGGTGCCAGCGGCCTTCGCAGGAGCTCCCGGGCCTGTGTGTGGACCCAGATGCTGCAGGCCCTCGAGGCTCCCTCCTGCCCGCGGGGCAGCGACATCCTCTCCCTGGCCCTCGACACAGTCCGCCAGGCGGGTGGGCTCGGGCACTGCAGGACAGGAAGCATTCCAGTCCCATGGGACGCGGAAGTCGCCTTTTCTCATCCAGGTTGAGAACAGAGAGCTGCAAAACACATTTGTAAAGCTCTTTGCAGCATCGGTAAAGGGACTCAAGGTCTCGGCCAGCCCAAGCCCTGCGGAAAGGCTCACAGTGAGCAGTGAACGGGCCTAGCACCCACCCAGGGGCCCGGGGGCCACTGCCTCTGTCATTGTCCTGGGGGCCTCTGCCTCTGTCATCGTCCTGGGGGCCTGCCTGCCTGGGCTGAGTGGCTCTGTCTCCAAGCTCATCCATGGGTTGTGCTCTCTGCACCCCACACCTTGACTTTCACCCAGCTGAGTCACCATGGGGAGGTCATGATGCCCTCAGGGCTTAGATGACCCAGGACAACCTCAGGATCTGGGGGAAGTAGCTTTCCCTCCCCAGGGCCTCCGTTTCCTCTCTGAGAAGTGGGGGCTGGGCTGTTGAATGATTTGTCGTTGTGCTGGGTCATTTCTTGGCTCCCTGGAGTTGGAATCCTCTGGCCAAGGGGACGGAGACACCTGCTCAGGGCTCTGAGTTGGGAGCAATGACTCAGACAAGCAGATGCAGTGGTGGTCCCAGGACCACCCTGAGCCGCAGTGCTGAGCCTCGGCAGCTTAGTCAGCACTCAGGCTCCGTGTCCAGGTAGGGCTCCGTACTTCTGTAGATTCTGGCTACTCTGAGCCTCACCCTCCACCCCTCTGGGGATCCCAGGGTCCCCAGCTTCCTTCACAAATCTCTCTGCTCCTTTCTGTGGTGCCCCCTCAGGGCCCTGCTTGGCCCAGAGTCAGAGCTTTTCCTGCTGTCTTCATCTCCCATGTGTGTTAGTTTGCATCAGGGCCGCCATAAGACAGAGACACAAGGGTGGGGAACCTAAAGCCAGCATCTCTGTGTCCCCCACAGCTCTGTGATTCAGAAGCCTGGCCTGACATGACCCAACTCTGCTCAGTGTGCCCCAAGGCCAAAGTCCAGGTGTGGCTGTGTTCCCTTCTGGGCCAGAGCCCACTGCCCAGCCATGGCCTCAGCTACAGAAGCCAGGGCTGTGAAGCCAAGAGCCAAGCTCCTGACTGGTGGCCCTTCCATCCTCAGGCACCGAGACACTGAGACCCGCTCACACCTGCTCATATCTCCAGCCCCAGAACTTCCCTTTGCCTTCAGCACCTGCGTTTGAGGGTTCACAGGTCAGACGGGGCTTGGCTGGGTGATCGGCACCATCTCCAGGTCTTGCAATCAGCCCATGGCCAGTCCAGATGCCATCTGCCAAGTCCCTGTGCCACAGAGTAACGTCACTCCCCCAGGATTAGGACTGCAAACCCTGGGCACGACTGCCCTCAATTTCTCTCCCTCAGTGAGGAATCCGAAGGAGGGAGAGGACAGACTGTGCCCTCAGGGACCTCGCTCAGAGGACAAAGTGCCAGAGGGTGGGGTGGAACCAGACCAGGGACACAAAGGAGGGCTGGGGGCCTGGAGGGAGGGGCGGTGTCTCCCTCTTCCTCCTCCCTGAGGCATAGTTCTGACACCCACAGTTTAAAGGGGAGGCTGATCCCGGAGCAGCCAGGGCAGCAGCTGAGAGGCCATGAAGGAGGAGCTAAGGCCCTTCTTCCAGCCAGACCCTCCTCCTGACAGCAGCTCAGCCGAGAACTCCTCGGGCCTAATCCGCTGATGATGCTCACACCTGGGAGCCAGTCACCCCCAAGCCCTGCCTGCAAGGGGATACCCAGAAATAAACTCAGACAGGAGGAAAAGGGGTGCAGGGAGCCAGCAGAGAGCCGACTGCTCTTCCCAGCTGTCCACACTGGGCATCAGGGCCAGTTCACAGGTGAGAAAGCAAACTGAGGAGGAAGAGAAGCCGGTGGGCTGGGTGGGGAGAAAGCAATTGGAACACAATGACCTTGAGACACCAGAAGGACAAGGGACAGCAGCGTGAAGCTGCACCCATGCCCAGCAAGGAGGCCCAGGAAATGTGGGGCAACTAAGGCTGAAGTGAAAAATCAGGGCCGTGAAGGCAAAGGAGAGAGGTGCAGGAGGGAGGAGGACAGAAAATGGCGCCCAGAGGTCCGAACAGCGCTGACCAGGCTCCATCTGCTGCTCGCTTGCCCCAGCTCCACCTCCAAAGCGTGAGGCCTGCACCTCCTTCGAGCTGAAGCCCACCCGGCCTGCTGTTCCTGCTCCAGAGATGAAGGGCCCTGGGGGCATCCTGGGTTCTAGATGGTGGCCCGGGCTCCTGCCCCAGGGCCTCGTGCTTCCTGGGCCTGGCAAGGCCACCACCCGCCCGCAGTGCCCACCACAGCCCCTCCCAGCCTCCCTGCACCTACCCTCCCTCCTCAGCGCTCCTGCAGCAGTGCAGCTAGGGCCTCTGGAACCCCGTAGGCCCGGGCTGGTTCCCTAACGAGCTCTGGAGCTCTGAGCACTGCAGTTTACCTCTGGCTGTTGCGTTTTGCAAGGGCGATCCTCATGGGAGCTCTGGAGCCAAGCGTGAGGTTAGGCAGCAGGGGCTGGCTGGAAGAGGTGGGGCATGGGGTGACCTGCTGGGTGCTTCTCCCTGCCCTCTCAGGTCCCTCCCTTCCCCCTGCTTCCTGGCCACTATTAGGGAGCAGCTGTCCTCCGGCAGGCCCTTCCCTGATGCCATCCTGCCCTGGAGCCCAAATAAACCTGTCCTTTCCGCTGCAGGTGCCGGGCGTTGTGTCCCAGCGACAAGGAAAGTGACTGAGCCATCCACGTGTGGAATGGAGTCGGCAGAGTCCTGCGTGAGGAAAACACCTGGCACAGGGCCTGGCCCAAGCAGAGCCCAGATGACGGGGCCTTCACCGCCCCTCCAGGGCACACAG